GATATGTACCCAAGAGTGGGCTTTGTGGATTGTAAGGCATATATACTCACACTTAATCCCACTAAGTAATGTTAGGTTACTTTCCAGTATGGGTGTACCCAGTCTTCTGCCTCATCAGAAGTGTATAAATGTTCCTTTTCCCCTAAATACTTGACTGTTATGCTCAACATACCAGTAATATATGACTTCTTAATTTTGCCAATTTCAAGGATGTACAGTGGTATCTCATAATTATGTTAATTGGTGATTGAGTTGATTGTGTCAGCGTGAGCATCAATTCTCATACTTGTTCAGCCTCCACTTTTCTGAATTGCCTGTTCATGGTCTTTGCACATTTTTTTCTTATTGGGTTTCCTGTTGTGTTCTTACTAATATGTAGGGAGGGTTTCTTTTGTCATAGGAACTGTCTTAACTATATACTGCTGCTATTTACATTTATATTTATGAGTATATTGGTGCCAGATAAAGTTCAAACAAACCCATAGGAATAAAGGAGTCATAGTAGTTCATATAGAGGAGGTAGAAGGAGTGAGTCATCTCCCCATCCATAGTAGTATGGGCATATGGAACTCCAACCAGTCTGTGTTGTGGCTATTGGAACTACACTCACAGCACAAAGCTGTACTGCACAGACCACCTCTTAGTACATACCAACCCTCAGCAGTTCATTAACAATGAGGGTATTAGCTATTATGTACTGAAGAAGCTTTCATTAAATAGTACTTTAAAATTTTCAGCATACTATTTGGGATTGGCCCATTAAACATTCAGTGGTTAAAAATGAGTTCATGTTAAATGGAAAAATAATGATTGTGCTACTGACAGTGATTGAGACAATGGACCATCCTGATCAAAATAAAAAGAATCAGGCTATTCACATGTGAAATATAAAACATGCAAATGATTTTCCTACTATTAGGTCCAACATTATTGATTCACTTTGAAGAAAACAATCATGCTAAAGAAATGCTGTTAGCTTGAATTTTACTTGATTTAGAGTTTTGCTTGTGTTTAATTTACAAATTTATTTTATAGTTCTTTTTAGATTTTGTAACCATAAGAATTTTATAACTTTTTTTTAATGTAGAACATTTAAATAATATTATCATGAGGCCAATTTAAACAAATACTGGGGGTCTATGTATTTTTTCCTTTAAAGTTTGGGAAATACTGCCTTTGTCTACTGAAATGTTCATTTGCAGACTATAGGCTATTAATTATTTCACAGAATTGGGATGAATCATGGCCACCAAAATAAATTCTAAAATATTGGGCACCACAGATAATTCAAATATATATGAATTTGAGGGTCAGATCAGAGGCAAGGTTAACATATCTTTAGATTTGTGGTTGACATGATGGACTGACTTTTAACAGCTATTCCACCCCTTTCCTAGTGACTTCTCATTTTGTAGAGGCTGGAAAGCCAAGAACTACATTTCCCAGACCCCCTTGCAAGTCAAGCTCTGGATGGCATTTAGGTTCAGCCTCTCAGGTGCGCTCACATGAATGTGGTGACACTGAGTGAGCAGATGATTAGCATCTACTCCTTCTGCTGCCAGGCATGCATGTGAGTCATTTGTATTGGTCTGGGGTCCAGCCACTATATCTGAGGATGTCAGAGGACATGCTGCTCGTGGTGTGGATCATGGCAGGTGCGGCGGTGTCCCAGCTGTGAGTTTGAGGACATTGCTAGTGGTCTCCTGGCTGTAAGAGAGGCAGCAGTTCTTTTGGTGGCCCAGTTGTTCCTGTGAATTTGAGTCATTTCAGAAAGCTCAACCCATTTGTTGAGCACTGCCAGTGATCCTTAAACTGTGGATACCCTACAGTAACTCATTCCTGCTTAACCTGGCTAGAACAGATTCTGTTCTTTGCTTAAAAGCCTGACTATAATGAGGTCAAATCCTTGTAGAGTGACATTTTCCAGCTCTCAAAACCAATTTCTGACAGAGTGCAATCATGGTGTGTGTGCATGGCTCTTGCTAAGTCCACATGGGGTAAAGTTTGGTCTCTGTCCCCAGCGATCCAGGGCCAAGACACTGTGTGGCCGGTGGTCAGTAGCTTCTGAGCACCACGAGATGTTGTCCTTGAGTTCAGAGATGGGTGGGGTGTGTAGGATACCACTGTGTGGATGGCAGGGGGATCCTCATGGGAAAGGTGGAAAGTGAACTGAACTTTAATTAATGAGGTGGAGGCGAGAGAGGAGGCAGGAAGGAGGAGAGAGGACATGGAAGGTAGGGAGAACTATGGAAACAGCATGCAGAGGTGGAGGGACAGTTCTCACCTGGACCCTGGAAGCCTTGAGTGCTAGGAGAAGAACATAGTAACTCTTCATTCTCTAGGCCTGGAGAGCCATTTCAGGTTCTGAGTAGAGGAGTAATGTGAGTAAAGCAGTGTTACCCCACCACCACCCACTTTCGTGTGGGGATAAGAAAATAGTGTTTACATGATAAGCTTTTGGAGTGGATGGTGTTGTTTTATGTTGTGAGACTGGGACTGAGATATTCTTATGTCACCTGTTAATTTGGAACTCCAGAAAATGGGAGACTTAGCGTTGGCTGAATCTTGCTTGGCGGTCAGTGGAGCAGCCATGACAGTTCCTGCATGAAGCAAGCCCACGCCATGCTGCAGAAGAAACCAAGACTCCACTCTGGTTCTTGAGGGCCATCCTCCAGCTTAGGGCTGCGTACAATGAAAAACAATCTGGAAAGGATATTTTGCAACATTGATTTCAAGTGGCAAAGTGGGTGAGATTTGATTTTAGGACTTTCTCTGAGGCAACAGTGGAGGGCTGGTTGTATTGTTGGAGTTTTATATTCTCCAAGAACTTTGATTTGTGCATGTGGAAACTTTGTAATGGTGAGGGGAGTCTTAATTTCATGTTATCCCTCTGGGTGTGGACTGAGCCCCTTGCACAGCCTCTGATAAGCTGGGCTTGATGATGTGGCCAGCGAACAGAAGGGGGAAACTCTCCAATAATGGCTTTGGAGTTAAATGAGTGGCCTTTTTTGACCCATTTCAGAGATTTCTGGGGGCAATACACATGAGGCACTGCTGCTTATGGTTTATAGGATAAATGAGTCAGAAAAGGGACCATGGAAATAGAGGAAGAGAGTCCCTGATACTCCATGGAATTTCTTGCCTGAGTCAGAGTCTAGGTTTTACTGACAATAGGCCTGACTATTGAACCCAATAGTTAACAAAAGCATAAAGCATGGAAATGTAAACTCCCAAAGGGGGAATGTGTCATGGTCTAGTCTCTCACCTATTTTCATTCCTTCCCAGGGGAGGAAACACTGGTCTTATTGGTTAGTTGAGGGTGAAGGAATGTGAATCAGTGGACATGAATTTCCTTGCTCCCTCTGACTCTACCAAGCATCATTTTGAAGCCATGTGTGTGATGGTGGACAGTCCCACTTCCAGGTCCAAGCTAGACCTATGTGTCCCCCTCCTAGCATTGACAAGTCACGGTAATAAGGGAGGAGTTTGTCTTCCCGGTGTGCCTGTTTTGTGTCTGTGCAGCCCTTTTTGGGTGACAACTTGATAGTTGATTTTCTTTCAAGGTGCATACAATGATAAAATTTTGTCATCAAAACAGCATGGACTAGCCTTACCTCTTCCATTTTTCCTCACAGACGCTGCTGATGTTAAATGAAGCAACCTGTTTTTTGTTGTAATTTTGGTTCTGTTTTTTAGTGCCAGCCTGTATCATCTCAGATTATTGTCTACCTGTTTCACAAATACCCTTTTACCCTGATGCATTTTAAGTACCCGGCCAGTGCACTAAAGGGTATCAAACATGCCCTTAAAGGCAGCTCATAACACCTTGGTTTGCCACACTCCCGTGAGAAACAGCAGTGATAAGAACTAAGCCATGAACTAAGTTATACTGGGGAGGCAGAGTGTCTCTCCAGCAAGGCTCCTGCCCTCCCACCACAGCGGAGGGTTGCCTCAGGGACTAAGGCCCTTTACTTCTGGCTGAGCTGGAGTGTGCTGACAGCTCTGGGGCAGAAAATGGAAAGACAGGAGCCCTTGACATAGGACACTGTCAGCTTGTGGAACTGTCCCCTGTGGCCGTGGTTGAAATCACTGGTGGCAAGAAGGGCTGTGGCAGAGTGCCCTAGCCATCTGTGCAGCTGATAAACTCCTTCTCTAGCCCAACGCCTGGCGTATGCTTCCCACACCACACTGTACCAGGTGACGTGTACCAGATGTTCAAACACGGAACTGCCAACTCTGCCCTGCAACCCCATGCCAGCTCTCGGCCTCTCCCTGGGACCTCTAGACGGTCCTGTAATCCAGTATCTAAAGGGATAATTCCTGTTGGAGCAGGTCCCTCCTCTAGCTCTGAGTCTGTTCTGATTGGTCGGGGCCTGTGTCCCATGGTTTGTAAAACATTTTGGATATTGTCCATGATTATAATCATTTGCCCACTGTCTGCCTTTTCCACCAGGGCAGTGTGCCTCCTGGCAAGGGCTGTTTTCTTTGTTTTTATACTCCCACTGCATAGTACAGGGTGTGCCACATTTAGGAACTCAATGCTAGGAACAGAAGGGGCATCAAAATGAAAATGCCCTTTAATCCAAGTTAACCAAAGCTTGCCTAAAGTTATATGCTAACTATTGTGCACATAATTTAAGACTGAATTGAACAGTGAATATTTCTAGTATTACTTTAACCCTGGGCATAATCTTATTCTAAACTGTAACCTTAATCCATTATAAAGCTGGGTTTTGAAGATAATATCTCACAAACTTTGGTTCTTTGAGAGTGGATTTGATGTTTTGAAATGACCCAGATTTGTTCAGAGATAAATCTGGCAAATTTTACTAGTTTTTCAAAGTAAGAAAGACTGTTTTGCATTATAAAAAAGGTATATGACTCTGAAGTAATGAGGTTTTTTTTCTTTTGCTGCTCTAAGATTCACTGGAATGCATTTCTGAAGGATAAAGTCCAAAAATATTTAGAGCAATGGTAGATTTGTTAAAAATAAGGGCATAATACTTACCTGGCAGGGGAGATACCATGATCACAAAGGTTTTTTTCACAGGACGAGGCTTCTCCATTGCACTCTGGCTGTGCTGACCCCTATGATTTCCCCAAATGTAGGAAACTCGATTGCATAACTTATGGTAGTGTGGAACTGCATTCACGCTTTCCCCTGAAAAAAATGGGGGAGGGGCATGGCCACAATGAAATACCACCCTACACCCATTAGGATGGCTACTATAAAATAAAAACAACAGAAAATAACAAGTATTGGTGAGGGTGTTGAGAAAATGGAACTGTTGCACACTGTTGGTGGAATTTAAAATGGTGCTGCCACAATGGAAAAGATATGGCAGCTCCTCAGAAAGTTAAAAATAGAACCACCATATGATCCAGCAATTCCATTTCTGGGTATAGATCCAAAAGAATTGAAAACAGATTCAAAGAGATATTTGTGCACCTATATTCATAGCAGCATTATGCACAATAACCAAAAGGTGGAGAAAACTCAAATGCCCATTGACAAATGGATAAACAAAATGTGATATATCCATATAATGGGATATTATTCAGCCTTAAAAAAGAAGGAAATTTTGCATATGCTATGACATAGATGAACAATGAGGACTTAGTGTTAAATGAAATAAATCAGGCACAAAAGGACATGTTCTGTATGATACCACTTGTATGAGGTATCTAAAGTTAGTCAGACTCATAGAGACAGAAAGTAAAATGTGGGTTGCCAGGGGCTGGGGAGAGGAGAGAATAACTTACTGTTTAACGGGTACAGAGTTTCAGGTTTGTAATATGAAATGAGTTCAGAAGATGGAAGATGGTGATGGTAGCACAACAATGGGAACGACAATGATACTGACTATACACTTAAAATGGCTAAGAGGGTAAATTTTCTATTATGTGCATTTTACCACAATTTAGAGAAAAGGTGTATTTAAAAAAGTAAGTGTAGAGTTTCCCAACATGACCACTTTGAAAGGAAACAGTTGTTGGGGTGTGCAAGTATGTTTGATATTATCAGTCATAGGAATTCGGTCACAGCTCACCTATAGGTGACCATACCCAAATGCTGGACACATCATGATCTCTCTCTTGTGTTAAATGGCTTCTGTATTTAAGTGACTACAGACTAGCATATGGAGAATGCTGAGCATGGTGGCAGCGTATCCTGCTACCCATTTTCTCACTTTGGGAACTGCTAAGCGTCAGCTACTGTGGTTCTTCTCTCACCTGAGAAGGTGGTTACATTTATTCTCTGGCACAAGAATGTTGGAAGTCAGTGGGTTGTTATCATTCCAGAATGTAGAATGACTCAGTAATTCCAACCAGGACATTCTGCTGAAAAAGTAACCAGTTGTATTTTATGGGGATAAGACCCAACTATCCTAACTTCAGTCCTCACTGTTAGTGTGATTTGGGGCCACAGGGAAGCAGACAGAGTGCCTCCTCCTGATGCTGGGGTTCTTAGCCCACAGTCTCTGTCTCACTCGCCCCCGCCCATGTTCTTGGACATTCAGCTTGGCTCTTATTCCTTTAAGTCAAACTTTCTCAAGCTCATCACTGTGGACATTTTGGCTTGGGTGATGTGACTCTGCTATGGTGGCTGTTCTGCATACCCCAGGATGCTCTGCAGCGTCCCTGACCTCTACCTGCTACATGCAAGTTGCAATGCACCCCCAACCTTGGAACAATCAAAAATGTCTCTAGACATTGGTAAATGCCCCCTGAGGGGAAACCTCACCCACTGCCCCCACTGAAAATCACTGTTTTAAATGGAAGGCAAACCACTTGGCACTTTTCTGAGAATAACATGACTTAAATGGCAGAGAATTATGCCACATCTTCCATGGCAGTGTGGAGCATTCTGTAAATGTGGTTTTGTAAGGTGCTGGAGGGAAACCCAGGCTTTTTACCCAAAGGCCATCCAAGCATGATTCAGTTAGCTAAAGTTTCCTACTCTTCTGAGACTTCAGTGTGGTTGCAGGAAGGAACGCAGACTTCGGGGCCATACGGTTCTGGGCTCAGATCCTGCTCTGGGGCAAGTTAATACATCAGAGTGTGGATTTTTTTTGTGGGGGGGATCAGTGGGGATCCCAGGCCCCACCTCATGGCAGGATGAAATGAGATAATATGTGAAGATGTGTGAATGAGAAATCCTCACTTCTCTATTCTCTCCCAATACCACCTGAACCAGCTGAGGCAGACAGAACTGGTCCTCTGCTCAGCCCCCTTTAAGCCCTTTCTACATTTCTGCTCACACCTTCCCCAATATCTGTGGGCTTTCACTTCTCAGGGAAGCTCTGTGACTCTTCAGAGCACTGCCCTTGGGCTACTGGAGCCACTTTGCCCCATGTAGGGAGAAGGCAGCGTCTGCATGTTCATACCCTAAGTGTCCCCTGTGCTTCTAGCCAATTGCTGACAGGTGTGGAAACATGAAGGCTCAGTCCCTTCCCTCACGTTGGGTCCAACTCTTAGGCATGCTTTATCCTAGCCCCCATCTCTGGATTCAGGTTGAAGCTGGAACTTTACCTGAAATCATTCCTAGCTTGGCTCCCTCTGATGCCTGACCTGCTTCTTTAGTCTCTTATGCAGTTTCTCCTGGAAGCACTTCCTCCATCATGCAAATCTTCATCTCAAGGCCTGCTTCTGGGGAACTGTGTAGTCCCCAAAATGGGCTCCATCGATTCCTCCCTTCCCCAAGCATGCATACTGTCCCTTACATTAAGGGGAAGATTTTAATTTCTCTTTCCTGAATCAGGGCTGGACTTAGTGACCTGCTTACCAGTGGAATGCAGCAGAATGATGTTAAGACTGCCAAGGCTAGGTTGTTAGAAGCCCAGCAGCTTCCATTTGGGTCATGTGCTCTTTCCCAGACCCCAGTCTCCAGCTGGGAAAATCCAAGCAACAGGGAGAAGACATGGTGGGTGCTCTCATCCACAGCCCCAGCTGATCTCCGAGACCACAGCCGCCATGTACTGCCAGCCAGGTGAGTGAGGCATGGACATCCATCCTGCTGAGACAACTCCAACTGCCATCTGACTATAACCACCTGACAGACACCAAGTGAGAGCTACCTAGGTGAGTCCAACTAACCCACAGAGTCATAAGAGATCACAATAAATTGCTTTAAGCCATTAATGTTTGGGTGTTGTGTTTCCAGGGGTAGATATGTTGGGGGAGCATGTGTATTTTCCTTGGTCCTTGTCCCCGCCATGACAAAGAATTGAAGGGCAGAGACACAGTAGTGAAGCAGAGTAAAAGTTTTATTTAAAGTAATTTAAAGAGAGAAGAAGTGCAGCAGTCAAACTCAGCAAGGAGAGGTGCCCTGAAAGGTTTGGAGAGACATAATTCAAGATTAAAAGGTTACGCACTTAGAAAGTGTGGGCGACCTCAGAGAGAGGAGCGCCCCAAAAGGTCGTGGTTCCCCCTTTTAAGGATTCCTTAGGAATGTGACTAAGGGCTGGGGGTGCAGACTTGTTAAGTGGTCTTTAAATACTTAGAATTAACTTAACTCAAGGAAGTTTCCGCTCTGATTTCTCCCTGGGATCCCGGCGTCCTGGTCTGGGCACAGATCAAACAGGCTGTCCGCCCATCCCCCAAGGTGAGCTGAGTTGTCTGTTTGCTAAAAGAGTAAATTAAGAATCTTACATTTTTAACTTCCTGGGTATTAAAATACAATCTTTTAAGATGTAATCTTTCCTGCCTTTTACTATGTTGTTTATGGCTGGGCCTGCATGCTAAATTAAGTGCCTAGGTTACAAACTACTTAATTAGGGCCGGAAGGAGGAAAAAAAAGCTAAAGAAAGTAAACTGGGCCTGCATGATTAACACAATAAAGACATGGGCTGTGCTGAGGTACACTGGTAATCTGGGAAATATTCAAACATTCCAGGCCAAGTTGCTCTTGGCTTTTTGAGCTTTAATTGATTATTTTTTTTAGTAGACTTTCTGACCTTTTTCTCTTTCCACCCCTCTCACTTCTATTTTCCTGCCTAACAGATACCTATAACAGGAACTGTACTGAAGATTTCAGTTATACGGAGATTCTCCTACAGGGCATAAGGGAGAGCAGAGAGGTGCACTCCTGCCAGCTGCAGGAACATTGTCAGGGCAGCACTGCATGAGTGAAAGGCAATGGAAAAATTGCCAGGTACCTTATGGATATGGTGACATGCAGGGGCACGGGCCCTGGCCTTCTGTCCCTGCTGTGCAAAAGACTGGGGAGTGAGCTTTGTGTTCCTTGTGCAGTTTCTCCGTGCTGATTCTCCCAGCAAGGTGTTTGTGTGTGGCTCCTTCTACAGCTCAGGTAATCAGCTGGTATGTCTGATTAACTATGTGCCTTCTAAAAATGGGTTTGTGAAGAACTTCCTGTTGAAGAACTTTATTAGCTTTCTGTGAGATACTAGCACTACATGGTGATCTCAGGCCCAAACCCCAATGATGTGAAGACAAACATCCCCCCAAAACCAGGTATTGCTGGATGTGCTGAACAACCAGTTCAGATGAGCCACTTGATCAAGCTACTGACTCTGCCTGTGCCCTGGGTTGATATAAAGTGAACTAAGTTTCGAGTTGTTGTTTACAATATGGTCAGTCATCTGATCAGAAAGGCAGAGAGGGAATGGGTATGTCCAAGAGGAGGTGTGGGAACCAGAGAAGATGAATATAATCCTGGGCCAAAGGGTGCCTCCCTTGGTTCTGACTGATCTTCAGTTTGTGTGTGTATGTGTATGTGTGTAACCAAAGCAACAACAGTAATGGAAGGAAATTGTAGCATAGTTTCTACTCTTTCACACCTGTTTATGGCAAGACATATGCCAAAGGCTTAGGTGAGATGGGAGGCGGGATGAGGGCTCATTGCTTCCCCGCCCAGTCCAAAGTCATGGCCATGCATGTCGAATTTGTTACTGGTGTAGGAGGTGCTGGCTCACAGAGTCCTCCTCCGGCCTCTGAAATCACAGGTCTCAGGAAAGAGATGAAGAGTGAGCCGATGTGTCGACCAGAATGAACTCATGTACTTCAGGGTTCTCCACCGGAGAGAATCAGAGCTCAGGTCTGTTTGCTCTCCTTCATTGGAAGAGGGATTCTTGATCATTCCTGGGCACTGGTGTCACCAGGGCGGCTTTCAAATAATGCATTTGTTAACGGCATAGAAGCCC